TTTGGCCCCGCTTGCAGCTTTTTCGGGAATGGGTGGACGGGTATCTTGGAAGGAGATTCGGGCGTAGAATGTTTGGCCTGGTGTTTCGTCGCAGCAGTGGATTGGTTGTTGTGGGAGAAAAGCATGTGTGGGTAGAACTATCGAGTTGAACATATGAGTCATACATAGCGTGATTACTCAGCGAGGCCAGTGTTTGCTGAGACTTGTTGTTTGCTTTATGCACCCGAGTTCAATCTTTGACGGAGTCTTGCGTGTTCAAACCTCTCAGGCGAGATGATATCAAGCGGAAGGCCGGTTCGCCGGACTATGGAAGACACGGCAAATATCTTGAGTCATTGAGAGCTGCTACACCTGTCAGATCCTTGTCGTCACGTCAGTTTTTTTTGATGCCATCAACCTTTTGTTTCGGCGCATATCTGCTTTGCGGCCTAGCATTTCTAGGTCTGAGGTTTGGTCTCAGATGATTAATATGCATGTAAGATGGTTGCATGCATTCGTCCAGCTAGAAGCGGTGATGTTTGAAGTTTCTAAGATTTCACCCGTTAACACCAGTGCTGAAAGTATTGGTTTCAAGAGTCGGAGCACTGCGAAACCTCTTGTGAGCAAGTCATCAACGTGGCTATTTGGCAATTGCCAAGAAGACCACCCAGTACGAAAGCACTGGCACGCAGAAAAACAAATCTATTTGTCCGGCTAGAGCCGCTTGAAGCCAGTGGGCAATAAGGGGCAAAATTCTGTGTCATGCGCTTGTTAAAGATCTTGGCACTCAGAGTCTCATCCTTCAACGCTTGTCCCTTCTGCTCAGGCAAACGAGTTCTTCACGAAGAAAAAGCAGGAGTTTGCTGCCCAGGCAATGCTGAGTGAGACAAACCCAACGGTGGCTATTGTAGTTTGCATTGGTGATGGATGCAGCCTGAGGGCGTTGTTGCAGTCTCCAGCAACATGAAAGAGGCGGCTTGCATGAACATGATGCCAGCTTTGCAAAAGCAGGACATACGCGAAAGATCACCTGTGTTCGCTGTGCTCCTGTCAACATGGGCAGGTCTATTCAAGAGAACAGTTTGTCAACCATGACAACTTGGGTGCAAAGCCCTTTTCCGCAACTGGCAAGGTGCTGCGAGGCAGCTGCCAGTTTTATGTTGATGCTAGTGTCGGCTTCTGGTCACTGTAGATCTCGCTTGTGTTGCACTGTAGACTGTTAGCTGGTTCCCGGCCGAAAAGCAAGGGCCTTTGCACCCCTTCCAGCAGGTTCCATGTGTTAGGGCGGAACATGGTGAAGACACCCTGGCCCCTAGTTTCGACCTGAAGGAAGCTGACAGACCCCCAAAAACGGCTCGGCAGCTGGCGGAGCGGGACCAGCAGATCCAGGAGCTCTCGGAGAAGTTGGCGAAGGCGGGCAACTTCCTGGGCTACGTCTTATGTTGAAACGCTTGGGGCATAATTTTTTGGGTTGGGCTGAAAGGGCCCGACTTGGGATTTGAACAAATGTCGGCTTTCGATTTCTTTGCAGCTCGCAGGAAGAACGCCCCACGTCACTCTGATTCGCTTCCTCTTAGATCCCAGCTAGATTGGGTCCAGGGTCCCACTACTGTGCCCTCCCACGCCGCATGGGAGTCGTTTCTCGGAACGACCAACGAGATTTTCGAAATCCACATGTGAATGAGCCCATGGATTTAGCAGATAATGCTGCTGAGGATCTTTGCTTGCAAAAAAAGCTCATTTCAACCATCGTCAAACACCACACTAGCTCGCGTGGATCACCGTGGTGATGTCTCATCACTTTCCTATTTCATTTTCCTTGTTCATTTGTCCGGTCCTCCTTGCTCTCGGAGGCAACCATCATGTGTATCAACAGCCAATGAACCTTAATCAGGTCATGCCAAACTGCGATTCCCAACAGCTTCTCGAGCTGTTTGGCAACTTGGAGGCAGAAAGCTTTCAGACCCAAATTCTCCCGTGGATGTGGTCTGCCAACGGCAAAATACTTGTCTTGCCATCTTCATCATGAGTTGGCCGCAAACCTTATCATGCGCGAGCATGTGCGCAGCACCGAGCAGATATGATGAAACGGGTGGGCGTGCTTATCATGGCTTGCGTTCGTACAGCAAGCGTCTGCACAACAGTGCTCACATTGCCGCCTGCTGGGATCGAACGGGTTGACTCGGGAAAGCACGTGAGCTATCGACTTCTTCAAACTTGAAAGGATTGTTCACAACTAGGCACGATGTCACACGCAGACACGGTTTTCTGGTATTAGCTTAAAGCCTGGCTAAATTTGCGTAGATATTCTTGTGATTACCCTGTCCCGAATCTGTTCATTGTGTTCATCCCTGCGGACCTCGAAGAATCAAGCAATCCAACTATGAGGGAAAGCATTGGACATGGCCTGACTCCACGAAATCCCCGGCTTGCAACAGATGGATTGCAGGCTGAGCAGGCCTTGGCACAGTTCCAGGCGGGATTTAGAGATGTCTTGCCTTGGGAACACATCGATTCATGAGCGGACGTATCAACTGATGCAAACGCACAAAACAATGCTTTCAAGTCCCGTATCACCCACCGAGTTGAATTCTCTTGTTGGTGCAAGGTGCGGCTTACTGTGCGGACTCCTCCCACATGCAACGCAGTGCAACAATCACTTCACACCACAAGCGCATTGTCAGGCTGGAGAGAAGGCAGGAATGCTGGCAGGGGGGGGAGCAGTGGTGAATTCCCCTGATGTGACCATGATGCTGGCAGCACAAGTCGTTCGTTGCCTGTTGAGGTTTGCAAATTCAACAACATTTGGTGTATTTGTGGTAGACAAGAAAGATCTCTTTTCAGCCTTTGCAGCCTTTTTTTGAGGACAGAGATGAAGTCTCCTTGTGTTTTATGCCCTTGCTGGGGCAACTGAGTTTTGTCTCTCCATGTACACCACCTAAGAGGTTCCTCACATGTGCCAGGTGCAGCGGAACAGTGGCTTGCACTGATTTGAACTTACTTTTGCACTTGAGGCTCAGGAGTTTGGTAGTGCTGGACGCCAATGCTGCAAAGAGGGGAGGGTCAGCCTAGGAATGCGCAGCATTTGACATCTTCTGAAGGACTTGCTCGAAAGCCATAGGGCAGCAGCCGGGCTCGTGACCGGCTTTGTGTTTGCTTTTCTGCCTGCCTTTCGAGGCTTCTTTCATGCCAGTGTGCCAAAGGCTGTGCCGCTTCGGGGGTGCGGATGCTTGGCAGGTGCCGCAGGCTGAGGCGGTCGAGACGGTCGAGGAGGTCGAGACGGAAGCAGAGGCAACGGCCAACCTGCAGGCGGGGAAAAGCGGGAAGGATTTCGTAGGGTTCTCCTGTCACTTGGCCATTGCGGTTCTTCTATGTGCAAATTCAGCGCAACTAGAGCTGTTGGAACCGCTTCGGATTGATAGCTGGCCGTCTTGAGATGGCTTGCTGAGCTTGCTAGGGCTTCCCATCCAGCCCTCCCTCCAGCCCTCCATCCCTCCAGTCAAAGTAGCAATATCACAAAGATGACAACATTCATTATCCAAGAGACCCCAAACAGTTTCGAGCGTGGCTTACCTTGACAACGGGTGGTCCGGAAGCATAGAAGCACGTTAAATAAACTCTGACACCTCCCCCGCCTGATGAGCAACAAAGCGCAAACTCTCTGCTCAAGCTTTACAAGTTCTGATGAGCGAGCTTAGCTCATGCTTCACAATCTCTCCTGTCAACTTCTCGTGCGCGCGATTATGTGAATTGAAGCTGTGGGTGAAGCTGTGCGTGATGCTGCGCGAGATGTTGCGCATGATGCTAAGCATGGTGTTGCGCATGATGCTGCGCGTGACGCTGCGCACGATGTTGCCCATGATGATGCCCGTGATGCTGCGCATGATGCTCCCTCTAACGCGTGATGCTCTGCAGCCTCTCTTGCCCAATGTTTCATGTCCGTTTCTCTTCTCAACCTCTCTTGGACATATTTGTGCGCAGTTTGGCTGCGCAAGCATGCTAAGCAGGCTGGCAGCTTTATCTGCAGAAGTGTACTGCGTCTGTCACTTGTGCGATTTTCGAGCTGGGGGCGTGCTTAGAGTGCTACTTTTGAACTGAAAACTTGCGACCTTCGAGCCGAAGCTGCGCAAACGCTCTTCGCGTGCTACTTGCGAGCTTGAAACGTACGATTTTGCAGCCGGAGCTGCGGGCATGCGTTTCGCAGACTACTTCTGAACTTAGAAGTTGCGATTTTGCAGTCGGAGCTGCGACAATCCCCTTCGTGTGCTGCAGGCTGACCCGGTTTGACTTTCTATGGGCGCGGTTCGGTTTTTTCAGCATTGAGTTGATTCTCTCAGAATTGTTATCGGTTCTGGTCGATTCGGTTCTTAGGAAAGCGTCGGTTCGGGCTCCCGTCCCATCTGGCAACAATCTCGTTGCTGAAAGCCCCTCCATTTTCCTGACACCAACTACCATTCATTCGCCTTCTGTACCAGGATCTATACAATCGCTTGGTAAATATACATATATATATATATATATGTTTCACCTGACAAGAAGACATCCGCCGCGTAGCGGCCCTGCCGTCAAAAACGCACTTTGCTCTCACAAAAAGCACGTTAGGCTTCCTGAAAAGACGCAGCGTGCCCACTACTTGGGGGAAAAGTGTAAGAAAAAACGCTTAACTGCAGTTGATGCGAACTCGCAAGTAAATCCGGTTACCAGCGTTGAAATCAATGTCCAGGGCCCTCGAACATGTAAGCTTGAAACAGACACCTGTCAAAAAAGAAAGGACTGGGTAAAGTGGCTGTCGGTCAGCCGTTGCTTGCGCATGTTGCTGCGTCTCTTATTGCACCAAGATGATGACCACCGCCGGTTCTTTGCAGCTTGCATATTTTCTGAACGTTCACATGTTGCTACATCTCTTATTGTGCCCAAGATGTCTAAAGCAAGGTCAATACGTTAAACTTGTTGCAAGTTCTGCCCAATTCGGAAAGCCCGTGACATCCACGCGCCCGCAGCTGCCTTTCGCTTCGTGCCCCATGGCCGTCTTTGAGGGCCGCGTGGCGTGCCGCTTTGCGCAGCCCCTCCCCGCGGACAGCAGGCGCCGGCCGCCATGAAAAGAGATCTATACAATGATGTGATGCAAATCTCCAGGTGTGGTTTCAAGATTAGCTACTTAATCGCATTCTGGCCGAGTCTCCCTGGCACACCCATCCAACAGCTGCTGCCTGAGAATCTGATACATGCAGATTGACCGGGGGATGTGTTTCTAGACGTTTGTTTCAATGGAAGTTGCACAAGATGCCCAAGCTTTATTCCAAATGGCGATCTTTTGGTCGCCTTGCATTGTTCAGGGTCTCGAACTGTCAACAGTGGCATACTGCACCCCCAACCCTGGAAAAGCCACAGTCGCGAATCACTGTCGATCATGCTTGTGTTTCTGCCCTTTCAAAGGTGCCTGTGCTTGTGGGCTACTGGGCTGGCACCATAAAACCCCTGGAACCGCCTCGATAGGGGGACCTTCGATCGCAAAGCCGTGAGCGGCAACGTCTGGGTTGGCCGCCTCGGCCTCGAGAACTCCAACAGCTTCGCCAATTCCGGAAGGCCGCATCGGCCGCATCGACCACAGGGTGTTCGGAGCATGATGCACCATACCGCTGGGCTCAGCATTCATGACATGAGCCTTCCAAATAAAATGTGAATTGGGGTCCAACAAACACCCTGAGGAAACAGCACGCCCTGAGCTTAGCAGCGGCTTAATTCTGGCGCCCGCCTGAACTGGGGAACCCTGTATTTTGGTGCGAACACCGTAGTTGACAAGATGCACGTCTTTGTCTCAGTTGATCACAAGGTTCCATCACTAGGCTGTCCCATTGCCAATGCCTCCGGGCAGCACTGCAGGTTTGAGACTTCCGGAGGCCACAAGAAGGACAAAGGCAAGTCTGAGCGAGAGTAGTCAAGCCTTGCCATCACTGGTCCAAAAAAGGAAGGGATTAAAATGTGCGAGGCCTGAATGCATCCTTGACCATCCACGCCACACTTCCTTTGAGGCACAGGTTTTGTCGCCCTGTCTCCCCTGCAGGGGACCGCGCTGTGCTGTTGCAGTGCCAGGGGAATCTGGATGCAATACAAGAAGCAGGATACCCAGCTGCCGCATCTATTCGAGTCACGGATAGAGTTCGATAACTACCGCAGATTGTGGGAGAGGTTAGTCAGTTGGATCTGTTCTCAGCTGCGCACCCACTGCAGTGCTGCCGCCCTTTATCTCACATTGGTGGCCCCATCATCCCAGCTTTACTGTATTTTTGCTCGATGGGATCTCGGGGATTTGGACTCATCAGCTTCTGCCAGCCCTCGCTTGTAGCATCTCAGTCCACAAGACACTTTCCCTGACTCCCGAACCCTCGCTTATGCAGATCTTCAGGAGCCCAGCTCAAGTAATTCAAGCATTGAAGCCAGGAACGAATTGAGCACGTGCTAATTCAAACTGGGATGCAAGAAACATGCTCACTTTGAGCCACCCTTCTATGGAGCCAGGAGTTTCTCGTTGCCGGACCTTTTGTTCTAGCTCGTTGCCAAATAAGGGGCGCAGGCGAGTAATATCAGCTACACCTGGAACCATTCTGCATTGTCATGGGCAGGACTGAAGCTGCAAGCGCCCTTGGATTTGAAGCCAAGCTGCTTCGGCGAGAACATCTTTGTGGAGACTCTGCTTAGACAATTCCATTTCGAGCGCTTCAGGCACGCCACAAGCGCTTGCACCGGCATGGGTGTGTGCGTTTAAAGCACATGCGTCCAACCCTACCAAAGGCCCTGGGTGTGGGTTTCTTGTTTCGCGGAATGCGATCAGTATTCACATCTGCGAGTACTGTTGATCCCTGACGGCAGGAGGGTGTGCCAGTGTTGGGGAATTGATTTGCCAAGCCTCAAGAACTGGCCAAAGTTTTGTTTCCTGTTGGGCCCCGGGCCCAGGAAAGCAGCAGCTTCCGGGCGGAGTCCATCTGCGTGGGAGATGAGTTCCAGTGCTGGCGCCAAGGCCAGCCGCAGCCCTTGAGGCGGGAACGGAACGGGAGGGGAAACAGGCGGCAGGGCCGTTTTGGAGAAGCAGAGCTCATCAGAGCTCCTTGCTTCTTGAAGCCTTGAGTGGGCTCCGAGATCTGCCGACTTGGCTTGGTTTGAAACCGTTGCAAGGCTGGTTTGCCACGAAACTGCAAGTGGCGAATGATGGAATGGAACACTGAGATTTTCTGTGTTTCAGCATTGTGGGTGGTTGGATCTGAGACGTTCGCATATCTCTCTTGCACCATCAAAATATGTTCAGGTTCCAGGTGGCCAGCCCCCGCTGCCCCTGCTCCAAAGTGGACATGCGACTGGGCCGGACCTTCTCTGAGCAGGGCGTACGCTTCCACTGCGCCCAGACGGGCCGGGCTGGCTGCTTCTTGCGGGTCCTGGAGGCCAGGGCCCAACCCCTCCCCCATCGTGCCTGGAGTGTCTCACCAAACGGCAGGGTCCCGGGATCGAAGATTTTCTCATTGTCTCCCTCAAGTAGCTTCCACTTTCTCGCCTAAGGGTTGTCTGCTTGCAGGCGCTGCTTGACCCTTCAAACCACCAGGGCTAGCGGTGAGAGCGGCACTTGCAAGTCACTAAATGCAGTTTGTTCTTTTGGACTGTTTCCGAAACTGGCCGCTTGAAAGTTTCCAAGGGTCATGGGAGCCGCATCTGTTTGACAAACAAGGTCGCCATTCTTCCTTTGGTAAAGTTTGCTGGCAAAGGCCCTTGTAAAACAACATTGTTCCCACCTCACTTCAGATATCGCTGAAGATGTACGTTGTGGGCCCGATGCCATGTTTGGCGATGAAGGGAATCCTGCGCCCTGTTGGGCTGCGTGGGCAATGTCAGGTCTCCACTTGTTACAGCGTCAACTCAGTGCCCCGCCTTAGCCAAATCAACCAAAGCCTGGAGCAGGCTGATCTTTAAGTTTCACACTTAGGCAACATTTTAGATGAGGTCAGAGGTCCCAAGTCATTTTGGGATCACGACCTATCCTTTTTCCTGATGGTTTCAATGATGCAGATCGCCAGGAGGGGGATCTCTGCGATGGGGACCTCTTGAGGCTGTCCAAACGGCCTAACCCCTCCTGGACGGTGGCGAGGGTCAGTGGCCTGCTCTATGGCCACGATGAGGCGGCCAAGCACTACCTCCAGCGCAGCAAGCTGGCGGTGGCCGACTTCGACACGCCAACTGTCCGGAGGGAGGAATTTATGGGCACCCAGGATTCGCCAGAATCCGTGAGTTGTTTTTGTGGGCAAAAACTGGAAGTAACAAATGTTTGTCGGCAGTAGGCAGTGATTGGAAGGCTTATTTACACAAGTTGTTACACAAGTGAACTTAGACAGCACTTCCATAAATGCTTCTTTTGAGCTCTTTCGCAGGAGGAGCTCGAGGAGCTCGCGGCACTCCCAGAGCTCGCCACTTTTGAGTGGAAGGAGCACCTCGTCCGAATGCTCGGCAGGCACATCGGCCGGTACCGGAAAAGGCGGATGTCAGTGGCACCAGTGGCGGTCCTCGGCCTGGCAGTCCTTTTGGGTCTCTTCGCTTTGTCCAGACGGAAATCCAAGCAATAGAGCCTGACAGGCGCGCCTGCTTCTCTTACGTTTCTTTAGGGCCCGGAATTTGGGACATCTCAGATTTGCTGAGGAGCTCCTGGGATGTCCTGAGTGTTTGTTCCGGTTTACCCGGAGAGACTTGGCGCTCTGGTGCGACAGAAAAAATGCTGTGCCCAGACGATCCCCCTGGCCACTGGCCGGGTGCAATTGCACGTCAGGCGTTGTGTGAGTGCCACAGGTAGGGACTGATGACGGAAGGTTCTGTATATTTGCTACAGATTCTTCCTGTGATTAGTCACCTTTTACGGCAAACTATTGTCTCTTAGACCTGTTTGTGTGGACCCTTCATACCCTTGGGCAGGCTAGCTTGAGAGAGTCTGCTTTTTGGAAGGCAAAGTTCTTTCTGAAGTGGGTCACACAATCATGTTTTGCCCAAGGTCCCAAAGGTCCCAAGGTCCCAAATGCAAGGGCCAAGAGTTAAATCCTAAGTCAATTCCTGGAATGGAAGGTCCACGGAACCTGAAACTCAAAAGCATTAACTTGGGAGTTAATCTTTTCTAACTTTTGAATTCACTCTGTTTCTTGCCGTGGTTGCCAGGTCTTGAACGAGATGGCCAATGACATCTGAGCCAGATTGTCGGTGTTAAACCTCGCAGATGTTTGGAAACGACCACGCATGCTTCTTATGATAAGAAGCGGCGGATTGATTTGCTGCCTGTCCAGTACGATTGGCGCAGCGCACTCGCAGAAGCGAGGCTGTAGCGGCGAAGTTTTAACTCATGGCCATGCAGCTTTGCGTGCTTTCCCCGAAGCTTGCCCTGTAACAAGTCTCGTTTGGCGTTTTCGCACAGCAAAAGATGCCCTCCGAAGGGCGTGGCGAATCCTACAACTATTTGACAGAGTCTGAAACTTGTTTATGGAGCCTTGTTTCTTTTAGGCTGCCTCGAAGGCAGCCTTCTTGTTTTAGAGGAACTTCTGGTTTTAGAGGAACTTCTAGAGAAACGGACCGCACACATCCACAAACTACAAAGGGCACTACGGGACCAGGGAACATCAGGCCCAGTCGCACCAGTCACGTCTTGCCAACGAGTGAGTGGCATGCGGCATGCGGGAGATCTTCCCAGCGGCTCAACTCCGGGCTGCGGCGCTCCGGCGCTCCGGCGCGAAGGCGGGCGAAGCCTCGAAGCGGCCAATCGGAGCACAGTGCTCTGAGTGTTTTGGAAAGGCGAGGTGGCCATGGGTCAAAACCGCGTACCCGCAGTGAACATCCCAAACCCCACTAAAATAGGTGCTAAAATGGGTGGTGCACCTATCCCAAAATGGTATCATTGGTTTTGAACCATGGCCATGTGCCAAGGCCTTTGCAGCGTGATCGAGCCTGAGTCTTTGTTTGCCAGGGATGCCGCAGGCCTTGCGCCGCCCTCGGCATTGCGCTTCAGCGATTCCACGTTCGGTCTTTGGACGGTCGTTTTGGGGTGGATGTGCAGCGAAGCCAATTTATGTGGGTTGTTTTCTTGCGTATCCTGAAGTCAAGAAGCACTAGTTCTCACTTGGCAGTTTGGCATTCTCGATGATGGTACAAAATCAATCCAACCACTTCACAAAGATACCTTAGTTCTTGAAGTTGTCGAGCAGTTTTTTTTGAGGGGGATCGGAAGCATTAAATGCCCGAGGGGGGTGTGCCGTTGCATGAACATGCTCGGCGGGCGCGAATATACTCAGCTAGCGTGGGTTAGAACCACAGGCCCTTCAGCGCGCGGAAGTCCCTGGCGCTCAAGACAGCGCTGGGGCCTGAGCCAAGGGACAACCGCTGGCAGAGTTTGAGCATTTGGTAAAGAGTCCAGCGGCAAACAGGGCAGGGCTTCTGGCCGATTCAACCACTGTAGCCAGAACCACATTCGGCTTTCAGTTTGCAGGATGAGCCTGGCTGGGCTGCGTTGTCGCACCAAACCTTCTCTCGCGTGATGAAATGTCCGAGATCATTGCCCCCCAAGCTTTTTGGCTTCACTGCTGCTCCAAGATTTTGTAGACGGCTTCAAGCCGCGGTCGCTGCAACGCGGCTTAGTTTCTTGGTTTTTTTCTGTCGATTAAAGTCAGTATTGTGTCAGTCCACGCGATTCTGTGAAGCGGGGTGCCCTGGTGGGTGATCGCCACGGTCCTTTGAACCGTTGATCGGACGTTTCGAGTTATTTTGTAGGCAATGAATATCATTACATAACATTGGCCAGGTGCAGCAACTTTGTACGCAAGATCACTAGTGCGCTACCCGGCTGAGGGTCGCGCGACCACACGTCCAGAAGTCGTTGGTCCAGGAGTCCGTGAAGTTCGAGCGCCGCACGAGGTTGGCGGATTTGGCTCAGGATTCCATTGAGAGGGTTGTAATGTTGAGTTTTACGCTTTGCAACATTTCATCAAACGAAGGGCGGCGGCATGGCTGAATTTGCTAACTGTGCCCTTAGTTGTCTTTGACGCTTCGAAGCAAGACAGCCGCCCCCAGCCATTGAGACTCAGGCGGAGGCAATGTGCACCCATGTGTGTCCACACGACCTGCATGCCCATGCATGCAGGCATGCATGTTCGCACGCGCTTCGCACAGCCCCCCCCCCCCCCAACGCGCTGAATGGCACACAGAAGACAGCAGACAAAGAGAGGCACAGGCGTGGGCAAAGACCAAAACATACGGAGACAGAGCAATGGACCATGGCAGAGGCACAGACAAAACCAGCAAGGTGCGACTGCGCAAATGAAGAATAAAAATTAATAAACATGGACGAATGCAGAGCACGAACAGCCATCAGAGGCCCATCTCAAGCAAGCAAGCAAGCAAGCAGGCAGGCAGGCAGGCAGGCAGGCAGGCAGGCAGGCAGGCAGGCAGGCAGGCAGGCAGGCAGGCAGGCAGGCAGGCAGGAGAGCAAGCCAGCCAGCCAGGAAGCAAGCTAACAAGCGAGCAAGCACACAATCTGCATACCACATTATATAGACAACATGACCAAATGCGGTTATGCCTGATGTTGCGTTCCACTTGCGACCTGATATTCCGCCGCACTCCGCGCAGGGAAAATGAGGTCGGGTGCTCAGAGCAGTTGGGGGACACCAGCAGGTTCTCTGAGACAAATAGAACGACCTCCTGTGATGGCTTGGCCAATTCTTTGCATTTGGGGACATCAGTTACCCAAAGGTCTCCGAATCGGTATCATTCAGCAAATAAAGATGCTTGTACCATTCAGGATGTGTTTTGTAGAGGTATGCTCACGTCTTGTTCTGGGCAAAGCTTTGCTGCATCCGTGGGTTCCCTTTGCGACAAAACAAGTATAGTCTTGACTTGTGTCATGGGCATATCAACTGGAAGCAACACGCAAAGTGTCTTTCCGGAAGCCGGCCATGAGTATTCCCACCGAATCGTGGCTTCGGACGAGCGTCCTGTTGGAAGCATTGGGACCGTTGAACTGTTTGCCGTTGTGCGGAACAGGAGTGTGCAAGATCACCCTTGTTCAGGAAGGTGATGCCTTGACTCATGTGGCAGATCAGCTTGTGCCTGGCGGCGAAGAGACCCTTTCCTCATGCGATACAAAACGGGTGTTTTCCACGTGCTGCTCCGCCCAGTCCCATGATGACAGTTGGAAAACCGGCGAGGCGCGGCAATTTGCAGATTGCATTCGGCGCAGGTAAGCAGTTCAACTCTCCGGAGGGGTTTTGTTTTGTGTCAGCAGCTTGGATGAAGAGCTTTGAAGTGCAGATTTGGCGACCTCGCCCGAATGATGGGATTAGCTTGACTTGCAGGCACACTGTTGATCATTCAGATGCGCCAGCTAAGTGGCCGATCGAGCACTGCAAGAAGAGGAGGTGACCATTGGGAAGCAAAGTGTCGCGTTGTTTCAACAGCATGGCTTCTCAAGAGTTTATCATTCAGGGCAGATCTGATGGATGATGCAGTAAATAGAAGGTCGACAAATAAGACAACGAGGTTTCTGTCTGTGAGCTTGCATCCGCCACTTTTACGGCTCAGCAGACACCTGCATCTAAAATTTGGATTGCATTCCTTTTTTCATTGACCTGATGGACACTCTTCCTATGATGGAGCAAGAAGTCTCCGTGGTGAACACTTTCTTGCAGGCCAGGATGCATCGCTGTGACCGATTCTTGGGCTCGATCTATTGTTGTCTCCAAATGTTGCACTTTTGTTCCTAGACGCCGAGACAGGGACATTGAATTCTCCCACAAATTCAGCGCGGACAGGGTCTGCTTGAAGCCAGCAAGGTGGGTACAACAGGAGTCAGCATCTCACGGATCGAAGCTGCCTTGGTACTGGCACGCTTCTGTCCTGACTGGCTGTGCACACAAGCAAGGATTTGTTAGTCACCCAGCAATTGCTAAAAACCCGTGAGAATCGAAGTGCTTTGCAATTTCCGGCTCCATGCCACAAGCGGGCCATGTTGCATCGGGGTAGTGTGATCAGGCCTCCAATGCATTTGCAGTTTCTGAGACTGCCACGTGAGCATGAATTCACTTCCAGCAAGGCGCACCTTTGACTTGACTGGAGAGAATGTAGCAACGAGGACGAAGATGAGGGCGAAGCAAATACCGGCCTAATCAAAAGACAACACATAATTCACATGTGTTTGGATTAGCAATATCAGCATTCCCCCCACTCGAGTGAGGCCGTTAATCCTCCTCTCAGGGGCCACCATGGGAAATGCCGAAGTGCCACACGTCTGCCAGGTCTCCGAGGTCTCCGAGGGCCGAAGGATGAAGTTCCAGCGTTCTCGGACGGCTCCTGTGGGCACGGAGGCCGGAAGACCCAATTCGCAGAGCTCCAACTTGGCAGCTTCCAACTGGCTCACTTGAAGCAGCGGCTTGAAGCAGGCCCCCTTCCAATGGTCTCCTGTTGGTTTCTCTTCGACACCATAGCCATCGAAAAAGTTCAACCCACCCCAACATGGGAGTCCTCTGGATTGGTAAGCCAGAATCCAGATTGATGCCCTCCCCTACTCCGGAGCCTGCGGAGTCCCCTGAACGACCCCTGAACGACCTCCTCAGCGACCTTTGCAGGCCGTCTTTGTCAGGTTCCACATGGCAGGGTCGAGGGCGGGCTTCCCATTGACAGGCTCTTGATGAGGACGAGGACGAAGTGGCCGCGGAGCCCGAAGCAACAGGCGCAAGCTGTTGGGTTGGCCTTCCTGAGCTGCGGAATCCGCTTTCCATCAATTCACTCGTCGGTGGCGTTGTTTTGCCCAAGATATCATTGGAACACATTGGAACCCGAGGCCGGGGCATGGTCCGTTTCCAACAAAAGCCCGAGTTCGGGCGTTTTGTATGGTGTTCTCTGTACTTAGAAGGAGAATGTTCGGAAGGCTATGACATTGCAGATCTCGTAATGTCTTATTCCCGTCACAATTTTCGCTGATGACTGGCCGTTGGGCGTTCGGACCGCATGATGCTAAGATGTGATTTGTCTGCTGCATCTCCTAAGCGTAAGCTAAGTGATCATGACATGTGGTCATGGGTCAAAATCCCGTACCCCCAGCAAATGTCCAAACCCCACAAGATACATTAAAATGGGTGGTGCACCTACCCCAAAATGGTACCATTGGTTTTGACCCACACCCATTTGTCCGCTTCGAGCGTCGGTGCAGGTCAGGAGCCCAAGTTCGAGAAGGCAGGGGGTGCCAGCCGAGCTAGTGTGAAACAATTGTGTATCCTTATTTGTCGACGTATGTACGCAAGAGGCGTGATGTGTGTGTGTGTGTAATGTTGTGTTTGCTTTGTTGGTTTTGCTTGCTGGGTTTGCTTGTTTTTGTCCTTTTTGTTTGTTTCATTTTGTATGCTTCGTCGTTTTGTTTGTGTCTGTTTTTGTTTGCTTGCTTGCTTGTTTGTTTGTCTGTTTGTTTGTGTGTTTGTGTTTTTGTTTGTTTGTTTTGTTTGTTTTGTTTGTTTTGTTTGCTTGCTTGTTTGTTTGTTTGTTTTGTTTTGTTTGCTTGCTTGCTTGCTTGTTTGTTTGTTTGTTTGTTTGTTTGTTTGTTTGTTTGTTTTAATGTGTAGTTGCGCACGTGCTTTGGATGCCGCTCGGAAAATCTGGGCCAGCATCACTTAATGTGCGTGTCAGCAGCCACTAGGTGGTTGAGGAGGAGGAGGAACACGAGGAGTCGCAGCCGGAACTTGAAAAGAAGACGGCCACGCTGCTGCACTTCATCTCGAACCTAACTTCCCCCCGAGCAAGTCTGGGACGCACATGGACTTCAGTATGTCTTTGTATGTTTGACATCCCCGCTTTGCCAGAATGTGATCCGCGGTGGGTTCGCTGTCCATGTTCACTCTGTTTCTTCCCAGAAATTATACGCAATAATGAAAGCAACTCTCGTCGGGGCTCTCACCTGAAGATCACGTTCAAGGTGCCTTGCTTGCCTTGCGGGGAGCCCTGCCTGGCCGGTCCCCCGCCAACAGTCAGAGCCAGTGCGAAGTTGTATTGAAACCAAGATGACTCGTGGAAAGCAGCGTTGAGTTTTTCCCCCGCCACAGCTGGATCTGGAAAGATGGTGCCCCAACAGTGCCTTCTAAAAGGTGCTCAAGGCTCTAGAACAACCCCGTTTGGATGGCGGTTGCCCGTGTTTTTGCAGATTCAAGATGGTGCCCAAATAATTAGTGTCATGCTGAGTTTCTGACGCCGACTCTGTGGATGCTGCCTGTATTGAACCAGGTGCAACATTAGGCATTGAGGCGTGAATCTGCAAGTTGATTCTATCGGCAGGATCGCCATGCCCTTCTCAGGTGAAGTTCCTGCGAACTCTCCCAACATGGAGCCGTCACCTGGCAAGACTGCAGTGTTGGGACTCGGGATGACCTGAACCGAAGTCAGACTTGCGCAGTGCTTTGTTTCTTTGCGGCTTAAACAGCACACTTGGATAATTGTCAATCGTCAAATGGCTGTTCCAAGCTGAGGCATTGAGACGGGGGACTTGGACGCTCAGCGATGGCTTGGGGGGATCGGGCCGGGGTCAAAATGGGTGTGAACTGGAAACACACCGAAACCGCCGAAGGCCGGGTTTCGAGAAGCACCAAGGACCTGCTCCTACGAGGCTCAATTTTGCTCAAACACGTTTGCGCGGGTTTTAAAGCCACTGTGCACCTGGAGTAGCCACGGCCGGTGTATGGCGCTTCTTCCCGATGACAAGGCCACAGGCAAATGTGTTATGCCAGGCATCCTCCCCAGATCACCAGGTTTGTGGCTTGAGTTAAATGTAGCATCACTAGATGCCTCTCTACACATGGCACCTTGCGCAGGGCTGTCCGTTTGCTGTAGATGTTAACGATTCCTGATCTAGAGTGCTGCGCACTGTGAAAATAGATGCAGTTCGACCAACCTTTTTCAGAATTTGGCACGCATGCTCCATTTGCGACCTTTCTAGCAAGAGGCTTTGGTTTAATCCAAAGTTTTTTGCTTCAGCAAGCGCGTTTGCCCTGATTGGCATTTCATATGTCACGCCTATTTGATGCATTATTTGTACTTTCTTTCTGCTACTTTTACATCATATTGCCTACGTGCGACAAGCTTTGATCAGGAAGTTGGAAGAATGCCAGAACGGCGTTGCGGCTGCCGCAAAGAGTTTTGTGTGGGAAGCAAGTCCTATACCTCTTGTACCCCGTAAGAGCGCCATGCCTTGACGCGAAGATCCTGCGGTTTGCGTGGCACTTTAAGAAGCCAGCCACAGGCATCTTTGCACAGACGGAAGCTCTGGCGCCTGTGCTGGGGACGCCCATTTATGCTTAGCCTGTGTTCAAGTGTTTACTGGCAGGACCAGGGGAAAGGTTTTTTTCCTATTGAAATTGTATGGACTTGTGGCTAAGCAGCAGCTGGTGGCCTCATTCGCGGCCTTGTATTTTGGATTCCAACCAAAAGTCGAGCAACCACGGCTAATATGGATCTCTGCTTTCCGAGGGCGCGCTTGCTGACAGCCGCTGGGCAAAACCGGGGGACTGTTGTGAGCTTGGGCGGAGGATGGGCATGGGTCGCAGATTGCTGCAGGCAACTGAGTCTTTCCATCCCTTGACTTGGTTTTGGGTTCGCCCATCCCCGAGTCCCAGCAATTGCCTCCTGATGCCTCTGGGAAAGGTACCTCGTACTAATATAGTTCTGCTCGTGCTGGTACACGGAACTGAATGCTGAAAGCACTCGCGGACACGTCTGCAAAATTGTTGTATCCCCTGTTCATAGACTTTAAGGCTCCTTCTAAAATTTCGACGTTATCTCCTACTTCAACACAGATACTTTGATTCGCGTTAGACTTTTTCTCTATCTCATTTAACACTCGAGTCACTTCTTTTTGAGAGACAATAGTTGGTGTTTTCCCGCCTAAAAAACCTATAACTTTTGGCATATTTATAATGAACAATTATGTGGGGTCACACATTAGGATTCTCCAGCATGTCCAGCTTGGAACCTGTTAGGCCGCTTTGCCTCAGTGTTGAGCAATGCATTCGTCCATGGTGCTGTTTCGATTTGATCCATGAGAAGATGTTTGCCATGTTGCGCAAAGTTTATGTCAGCTTTCTACCCCCTGAACCGAGGTCAACCAAGGACCACCAAGGACCAAGAGCCAACGCACATGGGGCAGTCAAGCTTCGCCAGAAGAAATTTC